TGACTTATCAGTCAGTGGGCTATGAGTGACCTATGAGAGACTTATCAGTGAGCCATAAGTGATCTACAGTACGAGTGCCTTATCAGGGAGCGATTAGTGATCTATCGGTGACATATCATTGAGCTATAAGTGATCTACAAGTGCCTTATCAAGGAGCTGTCAGTGATCTGTTGGGGAGCCCTCAGTGCCTGTACCTGCTGAGGGGGCCGTCCCCAGCGGGGGGCTGAGGGTCTGTGAAGACGTGCTCAGTGAAGGGGCCCGGCCGGGATGCCAGCCTCTCGGCCTCACTGGCCACAGGCTCCGGCACCTCGGTGGCCTCAGTGGCTTCCTCGGCAGACTGAGACACGTTTATCTTCCCATTCAGCAGGGGCGCCATGTGGCCTGAAGCCCAGGGGAGAAAACAGACAGGTCAGAGGGAAAACGACAATCCACCGCCCTGCGCAGGACATCAGTTCTTGCAGAGTGACTGTCAAACTCCAGCAGGACTTCCAGGGAAAAAAGAACTACGTTGTGCTACAGAACAACACAAAATGTTTGCTCATGCTGAAGTGGACTGGAGCAGTCGCCCACATCCTTTCCTTCCTGCCTTTCTTTTTGCTTAGAAACACATCAAGTACAGAGCATCTCCAACAGTATCTTTTGTCACCCAGGAACTAGATATGTTGTCCTTGATCATGTTTTCTCAGACAAACTAACAGGTTTACACTAGGCAGTGTCAGTCTGAAACTCACAACTGGCAACCAACTGAAGCTTAGCAGGAGTGAGCCTGGTCAGTACCTGGATGGGAGACCTCCTGGAAAAAGCTAAGGTTGCTGCTGGAAGAGGTTTTAGTGGGGCCAGTAGGGGATGCTCACCCTGCAGTCTGTGTGGGTCCTAATGCCCCAGTATAGTGCTGGGGACACTATACTGTAAAAAGGCACCATCCTTCAGATGAGACGTAAAACCGAGGTCCTAACTCTCTGTGCTCATTAAAAATCCCAAAGAGTAGGGCTGTTAACCCAAGTGTCCTAGCCTTTTCCAGTCATGGCCTCCTAGTAAGCCCCATCTATGAACTGGCTTCATCACTCAGGTCTCCTCCCCACTGATAATGGACGGGTGTTAAGTATACTGGCACACTTTCAGCGGAGTATCTAGACAAGCGCTCTAGAAGTGTAAGTGTAAGGAATTTTTACGTAGACAGGGCTGTGCTTGATTTACAGTAGGAGGTTTCCTTGCTCAACAGAGAAAACGGAATTCATCAACACGTGGTGTGCACATCCTACTTGTGTGTTTCACTATAACGAGGGCCTGTACCTTGCCCCTTGTCCACTACAGGGGTGTCGGTCCGTGACGAGCAGTTGCTGCGCACCACGCTGCAGTGGGTGGCGCAGCCCACCAGCGTAATGCCCGCCAGCATGCCCTCCATGCCCCCCTTCTCCTCCGAGCCCCCTTCGCCCGTCTCCAGAAAGATCTCGCCCGCCGGGTAATCGCTCTCACTGGCCGCTGGACAGGAGAGAGCACAGACGTGTCAGGTGGATCAGAACAGCTCTGCCTGCATTACTGGAGGACCGCCGCCTTACCTACTAGTACCTGCAAATTTAAGGGTCCTGCTCTGGAAGCCAGGTGCTCTGAGCCACTTGCACAGACCTGTAATCAGGAATCTAAATGGAGAGACCAATCCAACGCGAGCTCCCGAGAGGGCACACAAGAGAACACAGGGCAAGCAGGAGCCTCTGGGCAGCTCACCTGGCACGCTGGAGATGCACAGCACATGGGCGTTGCAGACGTTGAACTGGTCCACCAGAGAGCCGGGCTGGTTGGCATCGATGATCACCACCTTGCTGGCGGAGTGAGTGCTGGTGAGGATCCACACTCGGCTGCACAGGGAGTCCGTCTCCTGCAGCTCCTTTGGCTGGGGGGAGAGGGAGGGAAGAGGACCCAGAATTAACACATGGGCACCAGTCTGTCCACAGACATTTACAGCGGCGCTGCAAAGCACTCGTTGAGGATGATTTTGCAAAGAGCAAAAGCAGGTCAAGTCTGCAAGGTAGCTGGCCTTCTGCACAGCTTTTATTTCCTGCAAAAAGATAATGATCTTGAGAAACTTGGACAAGTTCAATTGACAGATTACCTATCCGAAGTAAGAAATCGTTAAAAACTGCTCTGCTAGCAGAACAGGTGTGTTCTTTCCTGTACACTGACACATGGAGCTCACTGACTGAGCAAGCCTTCTTACCACGCAGGAGACATGGTGGAAAGGGAGAGAACTGTATTTACTGTCAACACAACTGCATTTAAAACGAAGATCAGGAGACGCTAGTTTACATAAAGGATTGTGGGAGTCTGGAAAAAAGCTGCCCAAACCTTGTTGCTGAAGCCGATACTCTGGCCTTTTCCAGGAAACAACTCGATGAGATCACTGGATCAGTTAGTAACTATGAAATAGGCCTGTTATTTGGTTCTTAACCAGTGGTTGGAAGCTCAATGGACATAGCTCTGTTGACCTGACTGTGAACAGCTTTCAAGAAGCGGACGGGAACCTGGCAGGGCCCTGCAGCTGGCCAGTGGTGGAGGGGTACCTTCTTCTTCTCGGGGGAGCTGTGGCTGCTCTGGTCCTCCTGCGCTTCAGCCTCGGCCGACAGGGGGTCAGAGCCGCTGGAAGAGGCCTTCAGCCCATTGGGAGGCGTCTCTTCGGCCTGCTTCCACCCGGTCAGGTCCACGCCCGCGGCACACCACAGCTGAGGCGGACACACACGGCAGCACGAGTCACACACTCACACGGGCAGGCAGGGAGCCGCCCACAGCTGGGGACCGCCTTGCACGCAAAAACTAAACAAAACGGCCAAACTGCGAGGAGGGGTTAGAGATACTTACAGATATAATACAACAATGGAGAAAAAAAAAACACAAAATGGGAACCTGCTAGGACTTCCAAAATAGTACTACTCAAGCAGGGTTCAGCAGGCAATACACACGCAGGCAGCAGTCCTGACTTTACCTTCCGATTCGGATCCTTTTCAACTAGGGGACGACAGTATACCGGGACCGGGACATTCTTCATGCGGTTATCCTCCTGGCCTCCATTCGGGCTCAGCTGTGGAAAGAGACAGGGTTGGGCACACAGAGGAACAGGCAGCACCACCGTATCCGTCTTAAAAAGGGAACAGATTCCAAATAGGGCTGGCAGGTCACAACAGACATGACTTTTTTCATTAAACAGCAGATATGCCATAGATAAAGAGGCATTTATTCCCTCTTGCAACTCTCACTGCTATTATGAGCACAGGCTAGTACTTGAGTATTTGGGACAGCTTTTACTTCCAGTAGGACCTTTTGGTGAACACACCAATTAAACAAGAGCCTAAATCCACATTTTCTCAACAAGGAGCCTGGTCTTTACACAAGTGATGTCTTCAATTTCAGAACACATAAAGCAGTGTTATTCCTGCAAGCGTATCACAAGAGGCAACAAAATGCTACTCAAACCTCCCTCTCTTCTGCCTTCTGCCCTGAGGATTTTCAAGGCCAAATGAGGCTGACAGATATCAGGCCACACGCAGGAAAGAGAAAAAAAAAACACAACAGGAACAAAAACTAGAGGGGTGAGGCGGAGGGCAACAGTCATATCAGCAGGCTGCACAGTACATCAATCACATGTCAGGCCTACAAAAAGGAGGTGACTATTATCACTGTGGGGGGCACAAAAATCGGTCAGGGCACAGAAGACGATACGAGGTGTCAACGCAATTTGAATCCCACTTGTGGGACTTGACAGTGTGATGGGTCAGCTGTGTCAGACAGGCCACTGTGGCCCCTTCTTTCCTCGTTTGTGGACGCTGAGGGCCAGCCGCCCTGAGGTTGCGCAGTAGTCACATGCCGGGACTCTGTCGGTCTCACTTGCCTGGTGCTTCTTCGCGGGCCCCTCCTGTGAAAGTTCCAGCTGATAGCCTGTCTGTGGGAGATCACAGTTAGAGTGGGCTGCCCTTTCAGGGCAAGCACGCAGCCCGGCCCCCATGCGACTCTGCAGAGCTCTGGGGAACCGTGGCCCAGTCTGGGGTGAAGTCTCAAGACTTGAACACACTCCACCTAACAGCTTCACGGCCACAACTACCACCCCATTAACCAGGGGCCCAGCATGAATAGGGAACTTGGCTCTAGGGTAAAGATGGTCAGGGTTAGAAGTGACCATCAGAAGCAGAATCAAAGGTCAGCAGAGGCGACTAGACATGTTAAACTGAATTAAATCTAGCTGCCTCCTAATGTCATCAAAGCCCCCTGCACTGCCTGCTGGATTTGTACCACGAGAGACACATAAAAACTGAACTGAACTATCATTAATTTTCATTTGAAAAGAAAAAGTGAAGAATATGTTTATGGTGGCTACCAGCAGAGCAGAGTCAGCATTTCCGTGGATTTTAGAAGACAAATCCCTTGCATCCTCAAGACTATCCTAAAGTACCAGTCAGACCAGTGTACATATCAGGTGAAGCTCTCCGACTGCCAGGGTGTCTGCAGCCCTTTACCGCCTGCGCACAGAGTGGAAGTCAAGTGCCTTCTGAAACTGTGAGAGCACTGTGCTGGCTGGCAAAACAGGACTTTGGGATGTTAAATTGTAAACCCCAGTGTCCACGTCATTTTAAAGCGCAGTGGTCACACGCCCTACAGACATACAGCGCCGCGGAGCCGGCGGAGCTGCCGGGAGCAGCTGCGGGGGCCAGGGGTACCTGTTTGTAGCGCGGCGGCACGCTCCAGCCGCAGGTCTGCAGCAGCCCGTCCTCCCTGCGCATGTGCTCCCGGACCTGCCGGTACTGCTCCCTCCTCTGCTCCCGGCGGGTGGACAGCGCGCCGTCGCTGAGGGGAGGCGCCACGCCGTTACAAGGGCCGGCCGCACTAGATCGCCGACGTCTAGTGACGGGCGGCTCCGAGAGGTTAGCCGCCATCTTGGCTCAAGGTCACACCACAGAGTCGGGGTTTTGAGGCAAGATGGGGACTTCTTGTCTGAGCCTCCTCTCACTACAACATAATCACCTAACCTACATCACACTACCAATACAACATCTTAGATATAATCTAATCCACACCCAGTTACTTTTTCACCGATTTGCTATAATTGCTGCATCATACAATTACTATATTTCTCTTGTTTATCATATTCCAAACATGTCTGTTACAGCACTTTGCTGCATATGGCTTGTTATCTTTAGAGAGTTGTTACAATTGTGTTTGAGCCACCTTGTAATTAATTAACCAGTGAAAGATACATGACATTTACCTGAGGGCTTATGAAATTCTGTCTACATGTCTTGCCCCGAGCTCATTAAAGTGTGAAGCTACTGCCCTGTGTTTCCTTAGGTCTTTAATCAACATGCATGTTATCTAACATTTCAGTTCAAATATTCTAGGGAAAGAACCCTACAACGTGAGGGTCGTCTACAACAAAGGCAAACTCCCATTGCTTAATTCAAAGTACATCATTTAAATTATGGGATATAAAAAGAAAAAAGTCAATTTCAAGACACAAACTCATTCCCTACTGATGTGGGACATTCTCATGCTGGTGGTGGCAATTTTCTCACAGCAAACAAATGTTCCCTGCTTGTCCGTGTTACCATGAATCCAGACTTGGGTGACCAACCGTTTTTAAAAGCTGTGCACAACACTGAAAGGAGATGGAGGGAGAGGGCCTAAGTGGGGAGACCGCTCCCCAGAAAGACACTTCCTTCTGGCTCTTCCAGTAGCTTTTCAGGACACGGTGAGAGCTCGGGTGCCGCTGGGGAACCAGCCCTTGGGAAACAAGAGGAAGGGAGACGCCGGGTCCCGGAGGGGGGCGAGAGGGGCGCAGCAGGGCCTCCCGGGGGGATGGTACTCACTCCTCGTGGGGGAAGAAGCTCATGTGGCTGTTCGAGGACAGCTGGCACATGGTGTGGCTGCGGCGCTGAGAGAAGCCGGCCGGCGTGGGCGACTTGTAGTGGATGTTGACGCTGGTGTAGGGTCGCTTGGCAGGAGGAGGGTTGGCCGAGGAGCTGAAGAGCCGGGCAAAGCTGCAGGAGACAGAAGGGAGGGGAGTTTGAAGGACACGCCGGGTAACCCGCCCCTGAGGCCAGCTGTTATCCTCTACCTCACGGCCTGCAATGGTTTCGGATGATCACGGCCAACTGGGGGACATACTTACAACTGCCAGATGGTGGATTTTTTCTTTTCTTGAATTTGTGAATTATCTCTGGAAGCTCTGGGGAGGAAGATAAAAAACAAACAGTTACTGTACGTATGGATTCCCCTTTCCCACAACCGGCCACAGAGTTTCGTTCACCCACTAAGCTGACTGGACTTCCTACCATTGAAGGTGTTTTTATATCGTAGTGTGTCAGAGTTCTGCGTGGGCTTCAGTCGCCATGGATTCCTCTGTAGTAAAATTACCAACATTAACAAGGTCACAAGCAATATCACTATGGCAGCCCAAGTTATGGAGGGACTATTTGATTCAATTCAATTTTATTCTTCCACACAGCTCTCCTTACAATGAGTTGTCACAGAGAACCTTCACGGTGATTTATGCAGATGATACAAACAGGGTTGTACAACACAATAAACCAAAAGGAAATTAGTGTAAGCAGATGTAAAGTAGTTTAGAGTATCACAAAATAAAGCAGGTGTAATTTAGTTTACCGTATCATAAAATAACAGTGTAACCATCAGGCACAGAGGAGAGAAAAAGGAAAGACCCCATGAGGAGAATAAACTCTAGGGGTCCAAAGTCTGATGGTACTAGCTGTGACAGTATTTGAATGAGGGTACAAATGGGAGCCATGTTGGGAGAGGTTGTGTGTGTTCTGCTGGGGTTGGAGTGTGAAAGCAGATGTGCAGTGGGATTGGGAGCCTCTAACAGTGGAGCATAGCTCCTCTAGATGTTAATTAAATAATTGGTTAAGTACTGCACTGGAGGGTACATTCTCACCCGGAGGTATTTTCTTGAAAGACTTTAATAAAACTCTGCAATAAAGCCTCCAACCCTCTTCTGCTATTGCCAGTCCTGGGATGGCATTAGCTAAGAGAGGCTCTCAGTAACCCATATTACCTGTCTGTAATGTGAGTAACATGATAGCTAAGAGCTTTCAAGG